ATCTATTTTAAATTTAAATGCATCCATATTTTTTAAAGAAAAATTATTTCTTTGATAAATGAAAAAAAAAAAAAAAAATAAGTTTGAGTCGCTATATTTAAGGACATGATTTTTATAATTTTTCTTAAAAAGAGATAAGGGGCCCTTCAGGTGTAATATTTTAGTTCTAAGGATCAAATAGAGAGACCGACAATTTGGGCTCAATCTCATTGGGATTTTGTTGAATTAGAGCCCCATTGTTTGTTGAATTTGATCCTTACATCTGGAACATTAGACCTGAAGGGGACTGAATCTCTTTTTAAGAAAATCCTTATAAAAATAATGTCCGTAAATGTAGGGACTTAAATTTCTTTTTATTTTCATTTATCAAAGAAATAATCTTCTTCAAAAAAGGTTCAGTCCCTTAACCTTTTCTTGATAAAATCATTAAAAAATATCCTCCAATCGATATTCCCTCAAAAGGCCCTCATCTGTGTGGGCCCTTTCACATTTGTTTCCATCGCCAGAAAATTATTTTCCTCACAATTAGACAAACAAAAAAAAAAAATGGGTAATCACGAATGTTTTCTTTCAAGATGCTTAACGAACGACAGCGAAACATTAAAAGGTTGAGCGGAGAGATGACAGGAAGACAGAAAGAACAGAAGAAAATCTTAAATGGCTTCATTAGATTCAGTTCATGTTTATTTAAATACATTTCAAAGGATGCTTATCGGAGGTTGTTTTTAAGGTTAGTTAAGTGAAAGGCATTTTTTGGTTGTCAGATCGATAGTTTGATGACTAAGTTTAGTGGAAAGACCAGACAGTACGAATGTGGAATCCCTAGAAGTCATTGAGAAGATGCTTGGGACAATAAAGGTCATTGACCATTGTAACCCGTACTATCCTTGAACAAATACCTCTTAAGAGCTACAGCTCTGTTGATCTTCCAAAAATATATATATATATATATATATATATATATTAAATAATCCGAATTTATAGCTGTGTTGGTTCTCGAAAATATTTTTCAAATCCCTTTTTACAGCTCCACGTCCTCGTCCATTAGTCATTAAAAAATATTTTACAAATTCTGATTTAAAGATGGTGTTTGAAAAAAAAATATTAATCCAATATCGAATCAAATCCACGTCTGTTAATCCGTAAAAATATGCGGGGAAATCCACGATATTTTTAAGAAAACATTTCAAGGATGATCTGAAAAAAAGCTTGGATTTTAAAAAATACTTTTTTAAAGGAACATTTATTAAAAGTTTTTAAGATTTTTTAAATAATTTCTCAGAGATCATTTCAGCAATAAATATTGGATTTTTAAAGATTTTTTTTAAATAACCAACAGATAACCAAAACGCGAATTTTTTAAATATCATTTCTTCAGGGATCAAAACACAAGAAAAACCCAACAAGCCAGAAAAAATCCGGATTTTGCAGTTTTTCTACAGTCACAATTAAAGACCAATCGACAAGGAATTTCGCATGAGGTTAGAATTTAGGACAGGCAGAATTTAGGACTAGCATTTTGTACTGCCATTGGGTAATACTTAGCGGATAAAATGGATGACAAATTCTGCGTTAATTTTAAATTAAATTAAATTAAAATTTTTAATTAATTAAAATAAATTAAATAAAATATCGAATATCGGGGGTAACTTTATATGGGGGCTATACGATATCGTGGATCTATTTAGATAATTCTCTTCTAGGGGATAAAGTACTCATAAGGAACTTCTTGTGAGAATTTTCATACGATTCCATTGAAAAATGTGGCCAAAATCATCATAATACCGAATATAGGGGGTACCGTTATGTAGAGCCTATACGATATCGTGGACCTTCTTTACTCTTTCAGGGGGTAAAGTACTGACAAAGAACTCCTTGTGTAGAATTTCAGACATTGGAAAATGTGGCTAAAATCACAAACTTTGATTACAAAAATTGAAACAATTCTATTAAATAATGTCGCCAAAATTATCAAAATACCGAATATGGGGGCTATACGAAAACATGGACCGGCATGGCCCATTTACGAACTTAGCCTGCCTACTGGCAAAATACACACGATCAAAGTTTTAGCCTCCTATCTCAATTCGTTCGAAAGTGTGTTTACAACAGACATACGGACAAAGGATCCTACTCGACTTAGATCGATTGACTTAGAATTTTACGATGATCTAGGGACTATCACGAGCTAGAAGCCATTAGGATACACAAATACCAATTTTTAGATAAATGCGTGAAAAAATGTGGCAAAAATCATCAAAATAGCAAAAATCGGGAGGTACCGTTAAATGGGGACTATACCAAAAGGTGGACCAATATATCTCATTTTCAATACCAACCATCCTATACACAATAAAAATTGTTCTGCTAAATTTTTACGTTTTATTTTCAGCAAAGAAAGCCCAAAAGTCGACCCTACACCCCATTGCATATTTAGTAGTTTCATGTAATAAATAAAAAATATGACATATCGGATGAACAGTATATATGGGAGCTATACATATGTTTGAAATGATTTTCACTAAATTTGACATATTTGTTTCTAGACTCAATTAGGTCGCAAATGCCAAATTCCATACCGTTTAGGCTATGATGACACGTTTGGTGCACAATAAAAGGCAAATCGGACGAAGACCTATATCCAAATCTGAACCAATCTCGATAAAATTTGGGAAAGGTATTTCTGTGCCAAATATCGTTGTTACAGAGTGCTTATTACGGTTGCGGAGGGCTAAAATATCAAATCGGATGAATAATAAATATTGATCAAACTTGGGTATACAAATCCACGTAGGACCTTCAGCTTTCTAGAAAATGTCCCTTAAGACTAAAGTGTAGAAGAGACTAAATTTATAAAATATTAAAGAAAATATAAAATATTAAAAAGAAAAATGTTTGGGCATTTTAAATATTTTTTAGATCCTTGATTCTAGAAAAATATTTTTAAAAATCCATATTTACAACTCCTCTGGAAACAATTTTTTAATAATCCCCGTAGGTCCCAGGTCTTAAAAAATATTTTACAAAACACACCTCAAAAAATAATTTAAAAATTCACTTTGGTCCCTCATTTTCAAGTCTCCACGGTGCTCTTAAAGCCTTAAAGAAATCCACTTTGGTTTCTAATCATTAAAAATATTTCGGTTAAAATCCACGTAGGACCTTCAACTTTCTAGAAATATTTATAAAGAGTAAGGTGTAAAAGAGCCTTAATGAAATATCTATTTTTTTAAAAATTAACATAGGACGTTCAGTTGTCTAGAAAATATTCCTAAAGGCTATTTATAAAAAAATAAATTTTTTTCAAAAAAAAAAAAAAAAAAATTTAAAATTGTTTTTGTGTATTTAAAATATGTTTTTTAGATCCTTTTAGGTCCTTGAAAAATATTATTTAAAAACCATATTCGCAACTCCTTAAAAATATAAAAATTTAAAATTCCGTCTTTTCAAAAATTGACATAGGTTATTTCGCTTGCCTTATTGCCGTCAAAATTCTCTTAGCGTCCTACCTTCCTCAAACCGGAAAGAAATACCAGACTAAATATTACTCTATTATCGATGGATATCGTTCGCATGGTGTTTTAATTTATGCCTTTGAATTTGGCCAATGACCCCAGCAAACGACGACGACGACGAAAAAAAACTAAGTCTTGAAAAGGAAAAGTGTGTTTGTTTAAGGCCATGGCGAAAACAGCACCAGCACCAGCAACAACAACTACAACCTATGTTAACGTAATGTAAATTGTTACAACACATTGGTAAAAGATAAATTTAACATTGGACATATGGTTTGATTGATGGAGCAAAGCAGACGGCCTCCAGTTCTATGCTCCACACATGTAACAATCCCCGCTCTCTCTCTCTTTCGCCCCTCTCTGTTGGGGTGATAAGGGATATGTATCTTGTTGTTTTAGCTGTTTTTTTTTGGGAAAAGTGTTGCGCAAAGTTTGCCATGAAAAATTCCAATATCAGCAAAACTCAGACAAGAGAATATCATTTTTTTTTTTTGGTTTTGAAATTTTATTGACACCCAGAGTGTTTTTTTTTTGTTGGTTTCCTGTGAAAATTGAGTACCCACATGAGGGGCCATATTACAACCACCACGAAAAAAAATTGCCTCTTTTGTTTGCCAAATGAAACACTTATTTTAATTTTAATTGTTGTTTTAAATATATGTATTTTTTTTTTCTTTTTTTGCTTAATTATTTTTCTTTGTAATTTTGTTGTTGTATATTTTTAAATGGTATGTCTTGTTCGGTGTGTTTTCATTATTTTTTTTGTTTTTTTTTTCTTTGTTGTTATTACTAACACTTAGAATATGTATGGATTTCATTTTGAATATATGAATATTATTATTTTTTTTTTTTTGTTTAAATTAAAATTTATCAGTTTGTTCATTATTTCAACAATTATGAGTTATCTTTTGTTTTCTTTTGAAAATTTGTCAACAATACATTTTTTTAAATATTTTTTTTCTTTAAAAATACACACATATAATTTTTTTTAATTTTTTGGAAATATTTCCTCTCTAAGTTTCTTGAACTCCTGATTTTTTTGGCATTGTGTGTGTGTGTGCAAAAGTTTTCCAAAAAAAAATTTTTTTTAATTTTTTTCTGACTGCCTCTTATTTTTCTTCTTCCGTTTCATGTTTTTTTTGTTTATAAAACAAATAAAATCATCTTGCTGCAACATTTATATCCAATAAAAAAATAATAAAACATAATTTTGTTTTTGTGCTTAATTTTTTTTTAATATTTAAATATATATTTTTTTAAATTAAAAAATACATTTTCTTGTTTTTTTTTTCTAAAATTTGTCGTTTTTTACAATTATTGTAAATATAATGTTTTTGTTTTTTTTTTATATTTTATATATAAAAATTATTATGGCAGATTTAACTTAAATGCTATGCAAAAAAATAATAATAAAATAACACAAAAAATAATAATAAAAATAATTAATAATGAAGGTTAGTAACAAGTGTTTGGATTGATTTTCAGTTTTTCATTTTTGACGAAATTTAAACATTTTCTTTATGTTTTTTTTTAGTAAAATTTTCAGCTATTTACAATTTTTTTTTTAATTTTATTAGATATTTGAAATTTCGTATTTTTTGTTCTTGAATGTCCTAATGGAATATATTTTTGTCAATTTTTATTCAAATCTTAAACAGGACTTGCAGCTGGCGTTTAACTAATTCTAATCCAATGGAATTTTTACTCTTTTCTTCTCCTCTCTCGCTCTTGCTCTCATTTTCTCTCTTTCTCTTCCAGAACCTTATTCATTCAACAAACAGGTTCTAATCAAAGCATTGCACACAGCATAGGGATCACAGTTGGAGCTGGGACGACGATCCTCCAAGTAACCCTTGCCAGCATCGGCAACACCTCGTGGTACACGAACACTGACACCACGATTGGCAACACCCCACGAGAACTTGTCAATACTTGAGGTCTCCAAACGGCCAACCAAACGACGCTCATTGTCCTTACCCTCCTTGGGATCGTAGGCCTTGATGTGGCGATCGTGACGTTTGCTCAGCTTCTCAATGGCCTCTTCAATGGCCTTCATGCCACCATTGGCACGCATGGCCTTGGTGGAGAAGTTAGTGTGGGCGCCAGCGCCATTCCATTGTCCCTCCATGGGTTTGGGATCGAAGGTGACAACAACACCGAACTCCTCGGCAATGCGTTGCAAAATGTAGCGAGACACCCACAAATCGTCACTGGCCTTCATGCCTAGACTGGGACCCACCTGGTATTCCCATTGGGCGGGCATGACCTCAGCATTGGTGCCGGCAAAATCAATGCCAGCATACAAACAGGCCACGGCATGGGCCTCTACCAAATCACGTGCATACACACGATCGGCACCCACACCACAGTAGTAGGGACCCTGGGGAGCGGGATAGCCATTGGCAGGCCAGCCAAAGGGACGACCATCAACATCCAACAAAGTGTATTCCTGTTCAATACCAAACCAGGGTTCTTGATCGCCTACCTTGTCAATGGCCTCTTGCAAGGCACCACGCTTGTTGGACTCGGTGGGTTTGCCATCGGCCTGATAGGTGTCGCACATGACAATAATATCATTCTTGCCGGGCTTGAAGGGATCCTTGTAAATGGCACGGGGAATTAAGGTGGTATCGGAATTCTCACCACGGGCCTGATAGGTGGAGCTGCCATCATACTGCCACTTGGGCAAATCTTGGACTCCGGTGGGCACCTTGTCCAACACACGATCCTTCAAACGGATATTTTCACCAGTACCATCGATCCACAAATAGGTGGCCTGGACCCTGTTGCTGGGGGTTTCCAAATTGCGGTAACGGGCCAAAATTGATTTGTCCAAGGAGGTATTGGGCGAGTTTTGCAGGAAACTGGAGCCCTTCAAGGAGCTAGAGGTGCTCAAGGCACGCATCTGTTGGGACAAGGTGGAGCTCACCTCCTTGCTCAGGAAAAGACCAGCACAACGTAAAGCCATTTTTTGTTTTTGTTTTAGGTTAACACTTTTTTTTAATTTTCGAAAAACAGACTAAAGGTCAAGGACGTCAAGGATGCTCTTTTCGTTTTTTTGGAAACAGGAAAATAAATTTGTACTTTGTTGTTGTTGTTCAATGAGAAGAAAAGGTACTCGTTTTAGTTTTGAAAATGTTGTTCTGTTCTTTAAAACATTTCACTTTAGTTTTTTTTTGTGTTTCTTTCAATACACTTTGTATTAGAAATATTTTTTTTTTAGTTTTGGTTTTTTTGTGAATAAAAAAACTCAATTTTTTTGGTTTTAACGCGACGTTAGCACGAGAACTGGACACCCATCCTCTTCGAAGTTAGGATAGCTTGTGAACATTTTCAGCTGTGTAACATTCACTTTTTCTCACTTTGAGACTGGCTGCGCTGGCCTAGCGTTATCACAAAACCAGCCACAACAACGACGGGAACAACAACAACACGGTCACAGAACAATAGCCGCCGCAGCGGCAGCAGCAGCAGCAGCAACAACAGTTCAATGTTATGTCGGCACAGTGGAGGAGATAGGTAGAAATAATGCGTAGAGTAATAAATGTTAATAACAGCATTAATAAAAGTTAATGAGTTTTTTGGTTTGGGTGTGTGTGAGTGTGTGTGTGTGAGGGAAGTCATAATGACAAGGAATATTCTAGATACGACGCGGGCATAGATATAATTTTTGATCATTTTGGGTAATTAAGCAATTTTTTAGATATCAAATTTTTAAGATAAAAACAAAAATTTAACATTTTTTATGTTTGATTGATTTTTTGCCATTTTTTAATTGAAATCATTTATTGCTTGCATGATATTTCTGCAACCTGTTCGGTCTTTGTCGGCAAAAAAACACATGTGTAAAAATAAAAAAATAATTAAAAAAATCTATTTGATACATTTCCAAACTTTAACAGGTCCTGAAAAAATATTTCAAAGTCGATAAATTGATTGGTATTGAAAAAGTATTTAAAAAAATACACAAAACGAGTAATTAAAAAAAATCCTCGATCCCTCAGCTTTGAAAAATGAAAAAACAAACAAAAAATATTTGAAAATAAAATTTCTCGAACTGGTAAAAGTAAAAAATGCCACAAAAATATTTAAAAAAATACAAAGACCTAAAATGGTAAAGACTAGACAAAATGCATTCTGAGCTAATGGTTTGTGTCTATACTATCTAGATAACAGTTCATGGCAGGACCATGTTAATATAAAAAACACATTTATAGAAAAAAATGACGAAACAAAAGTTTGAAAAAACCAAAAATTGGGTTTCAAAATTATATTCCAAAGACTTTCCAAATTAATTGCATATTGCCTAAGCGGTTCAAATCTCATAACATTGCTATGTTGTTACGATATCATAACAACAGAGGTATTTTCACAGGGTTGCCATATCTTGACTTTGTCTTGTCCCATCTTTATACTTCCATGTCTTTGCCGGACGATCTGAAAAGCCTGATCGCCTACTTAATAGTGGTAAACCATGAAAAATATCTAATGATTTAACTAAAAACAATTAAAATAAGCGTCGGAAAATATTGATAAATTAATCCAACAAAATTAAAAAATCAACGATCCGAAGACCGAAATAATTTTTTAAATAAAATCCCTATATCCGGTGACATTGGAAAATATTAAAAAATGACGAACTAATAGGTCTTCAATGTTTTTATACCCTCCACCATTCTACTGAGGGTATATTAGCTTTGTCATTCCATTTTAAAACTCCTCGAAATATGCATGGCAGACTCCACAAAGTTTATATATTCTGGGTCAGCGTAAAATTCTAAGAGGATTTAAAGATGTCCGTCTGTCTGTTGTAATCACGCAACCTTTCGAATGAATTGAGATGGAAGGCTAAAATTTTGCACACATGTGTGTTTTTTAAATGGGTTAATTCGTAAATGGGCCGTGTCGTATAGCCCCCATATAACGGTATCTCCCGATATTTGGGATTTTGATGATTTTAGCGACATTATTTACCAGAATTATTTCAAATTTCGTTTTTGAAGCTCTTAATGGGTACTACAGCATTTGACAAGAAATGTCTTATGCAGGTCCACGTTTTCGTATAGCCCCCGCATAAAGGCAATAGCTTAAACGGTATTTTTCGGATTTTTTTTTTTTTTTGAAAATTTTCAAGTTCCTTCCAAATGGTATTAAAAGCTCGGTCAATGAAAATATGCCTAAAACAAATTTCAAAACGGCATTGGAAATATTAAACAAAAAACTACGAAATAATATACAGTTCTAAACTATATTTGATTTGTGGTGAGGTTCTCTAACTAATTTTTGGAATTAACAAAAATTTGTAAAATTAAAATACTTATAATTTGGGTAATTATACCCTCAGCCATATGGCTAGAGAGGACAGTATTAAATGATATAGATACTGCCAATACGTACATCATCGAAATAACGGTTTTAGACCGTAGCTCTCTTTGGACCAAATCCACTTCAGAACATTTGAAGCCGATCTGTCTGTTTGGCTGGTGGTCTTGGGTCTCAACTTAGATCGAGTTCACTCCTTCTCCTCCCCCACAATAGGTCGAAATTTTCAAAAAATCACAATATTTTTATTAACCCAAGGACTCGTGTGAAGATGTGATATATCGGTCCACTCCTTCTGGTACCTCCCCCATATAGGGTTCAACATTTTTTTAAACAAAACTCACCCATATTTTTTCAACTTTCACACATACAAACATTTATGGTAACACAAAATCTGTTGTGAAGATGATATATATCTGCGAAATCCTTCTGCTACCTCGCCCACAAAGGGTCACAATTTTTATCTTTCATAACTTGCGAAACAAGACAATTAAATTTTCGATTTTCTTGTAATTTTGCCCATACCAATATTTTTATCTGTATTAGATGAAGTATGAAAATGAAATACCTCGGTCGATTATATCTGGTACTTCAAGCACATTTTAACATTTTCCAAAAATTCTAACATATATCATATAAAGTGAAGGAAGAAGTTGATATGGTCCAAACCTGGCACGTAAAAAGATTTATATCATATTTATTAAGGTCCGATATGGAATGGACAATATTGGCCCATTCCTTCAGAACCTACTCCACAGAGGGTCAACAATTTGTATTATCATAACAGAAGTCAAAATATATTTAAATAGTCTAGTATTGGGTGAGGGAAAACCGACTGATACTTTTTAACCTGTTTTCTATTCCTATAAAGAACTATTTTATTTGCAAATAATAATAAATGCTAATAGACAATGGGCTTGGTACTTTTATAAATTATTTTAAAGATTTTTTTGCTGGTATCAGAGGTTTAAGACCATTGAATAAGGATTTTTTATTTATATTAATAACACCACCTGAGCAAAAGATCCATATTGCTTTAAATTATTCGAAATTATGTTTCTATGTCGTCAATATTTGCTAATTCAAAATTATGGAAATTGCTATTATAAAATTTTCCAACATTTCCGCCCACTGTGTCACACAGCGTATACACTTGCAAATTCATTCACACAGATACTGCTGCCATTTGCCGTCTGATACTATTGCAGCGCACAGCAGCAGCAGTTAACATTGGGATATCTCCGCTGCTGTTGGATTTATAACATTGTAATTGGGTGGGTGACACTGGCTGCATAGTAAATACACAGGGGGCTACAGTGGTGTGAGTGTGTTTATATGTTAAAAAAAAAACAATAATAATAACAATACACTTTTTTTGCTTGATAACAATGTCATAGATACAGTGCGAACGAAAGAGGGAGAGTGAGAGCGACAGAGAGCAAGAGATGGCGCATGATTTAGAAGAGACTAGAAGAGTTGGTTTGTAACTGCAGTTACAGAGCAAATGAGAACGATGAGATGATACCTGTATTAATGGCATTAAACAAGAGAAAGGTCATTACAACTACTGCTACTGGGAGAGAGAAAGACGCCACACAAAACAAAAATAAAAACAAAAACGTAAAAGTGTTTCGTTTTTGTTGTGGAGATGTCTAGAAAATGTTGTAAAGCCAAAAAGAACAACAAATGCTCTCTGTGTGTGTGCGTCTCGTCTGCCAGTTTTACATGGTCTTGGCCAATCATCACGTAGGCATTTTTGTTTGAAATGTAAGGCATGTGTGTGTAAAACACAAATAGCCAAACTAAACATGCATATGTATGTCAAAATGCACTTGTTTTTGTTTGTTTTAATCGATCAATTGGCCAAACAAAAATTTAAAGTTCAATCGCCTTAGGTGATTTTTATTTTGCTTTGGGAAATACATATTTCAAAGTACACATTTTTATTTACATACATACAGACAAATGCACACACACACACACACACAAACATATGGGTACACATTGTATGGATGCAAGAAATGTTTTTGTTTATACTTTTATTTTGGCAATTTTGGTTTGTTGTTATACTCATGCTCATCGAGGTGTTTGTGTATTCTCTTGAATTTTTATTTCTTTGTCTCTTTCAGATAGAATTAACTTTGAACGTGTGTGTGTGTATGAGTATCTCTTATTATGGGGGGCTGCCATAAAAATGTCGGTGTGATAGATTTTGCATTATGTTTGCCATACAGACACCGACAATAAGGGGAGAATCAAAGTCGACCTATGTAACACCCTATGAAAGTTGAAATATTCAATTGACCATCAATTAATTAATTACCGATTTTGTTAGTTAATTAAAAAATGAGTTAGAGTTCGAGTTTTTAGAGTTTGTTAGAGTTAGAGATTTTGTTAGTTAATTAAAAAATGAGTTATTTTTATATCTTGAGTGTGTAAAATTGGCTTTCACTTTTTACCAAGTTAAAAAGTATCAGTCGGCTTTGCCGATAGATGTATACCCCTAGTCAATATTCAACTATTCAAATATATTTTGACTTCAGTTATGGTTATTCAAATTTTGAACCATCTATGGAGTAGGTTCCAAAGGAATGGGATTATATTGTCCATTTCGTATCGCACCGAAATAAATATGATATAGATATTGTGATGTGCCAGGTTTGGACTACTTCGACCACTTCCTTCACTTTATATGAGATATGTGATTATTTTTAGTAAATGTTAAAATGTGCATGATGTGCCAAGTATAGTCGACTGAAGTATTCCAATTTCATATTTCATCTAATGCAGCTAAAAATATTGGTTTGGGCAAAACTACAAGAAAATCAAACATTTATATCTAATTTTATGCGAAATCAAAAATTCCACACTCATCTCAGGATTCTGGTTGAGAGAAATATTCAGATATAGCAATTTGTAAATAATCGCTAACTTGTTTCGCAAGTTATCACGGATATAAGTATTGGAAATTGTGGGCCTGTGTAGGTAAGCTACCAGAGGGGGTTCG